TACAGCGCCACTGCGCCACCGACGGCCACCGAGGTAATTTTTTTATCTATAGGTATATTTAGTCTGGCCAACTTGAATTTCTTTCGGTCTTTAAAGCTTGTTTTTATAGTACAGACAAGGCGGGGTGCTCGCTCCTGGCCTCAGCTCGGTCTCGCAAACTTCCTGAGCCTTGGAGCTCATCCTCCCGCCTCAGCGAGTCCCGAGGATGTGCTTAGGATGACAGCGTGAGCCACCTCGCCGGCCCCCAGTTTGTTCTTAGCCCATGTAACACCATTTACTTTCTATTTATTTATTTTTTTAAATTTTTTTGAGACACAGTCTTGACACTGTGCCTGGGCTAGAGATGCCGTGGCGGTCGAGCCTCGCTCCACAGCAACCCAAACTCCTGGCTAAGCGATCCTTCGTGCCTCAGCCTCCGCCAGGTAGCTGGGACTACCAGGCATGTGCCACCATGCCCGGCGTAAGATTTTTGTATATAAATTTTTAGTTGTCCAGATTAGATTCTCTCTATTTTTTTTTTACAGTAGAGGACCGCCCCGAGGGTCTCACTCTTGCTCAGGCTGATCTGCGAACTCCTGACCTTGAGCCATCCTCCCACCTCGGCCTCCCAGAGTGCTAGGATGACAGACGTGACGCGTGAGGCACCGCGCCCGGCCTCTACTTGTTCTTACTTCCTGAAATGAGTTCTCTGAAGTATTTGCAGACCCTGCTAGGTAGAGGGCCAAATTTAAAGACTCGCTTTACAAAGAACCACCGTCCTGCCCAGCCCACTGGCCGCAGGCCACCGAGACGGGGCGTCTCTGGGGCAAGAATTGGAAAATGACGGTGAATTAGGAAAAGGAGATGATCCCCGAGGTGGAGTCTGAGGCAGAGCAAGTCTGTCAGTCAGTGCCATGCAGTCGCTGGAACAAAGTGGCCAGGAAAGGTCAGGGAACCTTTTCAAACAGAAAATCAAAGGGACACTTGGGATAAGTTACCCAAGCACAGAGCAGAGGTTGGAGGAAAGCACAGAACTCTATTTCTTTAAGAAGAGTCATAGTAGCAAATAAAACATTATCTAGAAACACACTGCCACATGAAAGCCAAAGCATCCGTCTGTATTAAAGATTAAAATTTATTTTTAAACATAATGACTAATGACTTCCACTTCCATCCTCTCTTTTCTCTGCGGGACTCTTCTCTAGACCACATATACTTATTTTTAATCTCTCTTGGGAAAAGGAGAAATAGAAAATAATAGAATCATATTGGTTTAAGAGAAAGGAAGCTGAATCAAAGACTCAATATCATTCATAATAGCCACAAAGGAAGTAAAATACCTGGGAATATAATTAACCAAGGAAGTGAAAGATCTCTACAAAGAGAACCACAAAAAAATGAGGAAAGAAATCACAGAGGACACAACAAATGGGAAAATACATCATGCTCATGGATTGGCGGAATCAACATTGTTAAAATGTCCATACTACCCACAGTGATTTATAGATTCAATGCAATCCCCATCAAAATACCAATGTCATACTTCACAGATCTAGAAAACATAATTCTATGCTTCGTTAGAGCCCAAATAGCCAAAGCAATCTTAAGCAAAAGAACAAATCTGAAGGCATCACCTTACCTGATTTCAAGCTATACTGCAAGGCTACAATAACTAAAACAGCATGATATTGGTACAAAAACAGAGACATAGACCAATGAAACAAAAATAGAGAACCCAGATATAAAACCACCTACCTATATCTAACTGATCTTTGACAAAGCAGACAACAACATACATTGGGGAAAAGAAGCCCTATTCAATAAATGGTGCTGGGATAACTGGATAGTCACATGCAGAAGAATGAAACAGGACCCCTGTCTCTCACCACCACTGTTCATGTATAGCGCAAATCAAGTCCTCCTGCACTCAATGTTTATTGCAACATAATTCACAATTGCAAAGATGTGGAATCAACCCAAGTGGCCATTAATTCATGAGTGGATTAACAAAACGTGGTTTAAGGATATCACTGAATGCTACTGAGCCATGAATAAAGATGACTAAATGCCTTTTGCAACAATTTGGATGGAACTTGAGACCATCCTCCTGAGTGAAATATCTCAAGAATGGAAAAACAGATACCACATGTACTCATTATTAAGTTGGAACGAACCAATGAGCGCACATGTACACGCAGAAGTAAAACTCAGTGGAAACCAAGCAGGGGGGAGGAGGGAAGGGGGGGGGGAAGGGGAGGGGGATAGGGTAGGAGG